ACTGTACCTCATTCTTGTACACAGTGCACACAGTGTTCATCTGTGATGCTCCGAAGCACAGCAAATTCTTTCATCATGGTTCAAAATATCTCGTTGGTTTTGTATTTACTTTACCTATTTTCTCTTCATTATTACTAGGTACTTAGGTCAACTCCATATGATGGCTACTGTAAATAACACTGTGGTGAATATTAACATGCAAATATCACCTTAGCATCCTACTTTAATTTGATTTGACTGTATATTAAAAGTAAATAGTGAGGTTGCTGAATCAGATATATTTTCCATTTTTTGTGTAAGTTTCATACTGTTTTCCATATTGAGTGTACAAACATACATTCCCAATATTGACCTAAAAGAAGTTCAAAGACATACTTTATCTTCTAGGAATTATGCACCATCTATTATGTATTTAAAAACTGTTGAAAAATTTAATGTATTCTTATTGAAGAAAAATATGTAAGACAATGATTGTATTATTTGATTATCCTTTCCATAATATATATAAATTTCAAAGCAAGTTATATATCATGAATGTCTATAATTTGAAATTATGAATAAAAAGAAAGAAGTGCTATTATTCATTAGAAAATATTCTTCTAAGCCATAGGTAATGAGAATTTTTTTAATCAAGAAAATTGTCTTTAAATAAGTATATATGACATTTCAATACTGGATAATAACTTTTAAATTTAGGTCTATGGCTTCTAAAATAATAGTTTCACTTCATAATATCTGAACCATATTGTTCAAGTATTTAATATTGTATAAAATGTAGAATGAATGACAATATATACACTGAGCAAATTTCCATGGAATCAGAGAGTTCATAGGTAAGGCAGAGGATTGAAGTCAGCCCACTGCACTTTCAGGAAGTATAATTCTTGTCATAGAATCTTGAATTAGCATAGATAACTGTACTATGTCTGCTTCCTTTCTGAAAGCTGAGATGGCAGTTCAATGAATGCTGGAACTAGGATCTATTGAATGCTTACTATGAGCCTCTTTTATATTATATTTTATTATAAATTGTAATTCTAAACATTAACTACTCTTATCTTCTTGGATGCAAAAGAATACACAGTTATTAAATACTAGATTCAGGATTCAGAATCAGACAATGCTATAATCACTGAGTCCCCAAGTACTAAATGTAGGTTTATCAAGCTCTCTCTTTTTTCCTTATGCTAAGGCTGACACTGTTCCTGTTTCTGGATTGTTGCTTGATACTCAGCCCCATTTAGGGTTAAGCACTCAGCTCTCACTAGTGACTGTTAGTCACTGCATTAGTTGCTATTTACTCTCCTGCAGGATGTTCATGGGGCAGTGAAAATGTACCAACTGGACTATTGAAAACTCTTTTCTCTCGGGTTCTTCCATATGTAGTCTTGATATATCGGCAATTTCTGTTTCACCTGGCCAGACAAAACAAGTATTGAATTCTAGGCAAGGATAATGCATTTTGTACTTCCTCATCTTGGCTGGAATTTATGGCTCTACTGGTTGTCTTTGGACTTCCTTTTTTTTCCTTTTTCTTCCTTTTTCTTCCTTCCTTCCTTCCTTCCTTCCTTCCTTCCTTCCTTCCTTCCTTCCTTCCTTCCTTCCTTCCTTCCTTTCTTTCTTTCTTTCTTTCTTTCTTTCTTTCTTTCTTTCTTTCTTTCTTTCTCTAATTCAACTAAAACCAGCCACTGAGGTTTTTATCAGAGGCAATGTAGAGGAGAGAAAAATGATGTGAAATGATGCACGTTATTTCCAATGAAACACAGCATATGGGAAGGAGAGTGGGGGCAAATCTGAGAGGGTGTGAGGAAGAGCAGTTACGTGTACATTTGAAATTACACATTCTTGTCCTCTGGGCACATGGATGTAATGTAGTACAGGCTTTTCACTGGTTAGACCTTACAGATGTCAGAGCTGAGTTTGCAGTGTCCATCTCTTTCCTCGTGCTGTGTGCACCATTGCCGGTGGCCAATCTCTCTTATTATTGGAAACAATCATAGTTGTGGCTGCATGTTCTCACCTGCCCTACATGGCTTCCCATGCCTCTCTTCCTTATGACCTTTTATATTTGGAAAAAAAACCCAAAATTATCTGTTAAGAAGTTACAGTTTTCTAACAAGACAACTTCTTCAGGTCAGAGTAAACACTGGTAATCTGAAGCTAATTTTGCCCACAGGATAATGTCTCAGCTCTTGCAGACCAACTTTGCTGTGTAGTTGTTTCACAGTTGGTAATAATTCTCTCATTTTCTTCATGTAACCTTCTGTCAACCCTGACTGTTTTCTGCCTGAGTATGCAGAATCCAAACTTGCCTGTGAAATAACTGAACAATATTGTGCTTTTCTTTTTAATATAGTGGCTACGATGCAGATTTCTAAAAGATAAGGAAATACAGCAAGCAGGCGAACTGAGTGAGTTTTCAGAACAAAGGGAAAAGAAAGCAAACAGGTTACTAACCCAGTTAAGGAGAGATTTGTGATTTTTTCTTTAAAAGAAAGCCATATTTACCATTAAGCATTACTTACACACTTTTAAATGCCATTCCCTTATTGCATTATCTACGCTATAAGATGAAACAAACATTCTGCAATATAACTTCCACTCTTGTTCTTTATGATATGTTTTTCAAAAAGAAATCAACAATTCTCCCCACCATCCAAAATAATGAACAGAAGCAGGACACACAGCATCCCCAGACTCAGTCGTGTAATAGAAGAATGTTAGAAGACATTCTTCTCTGATGCTTTAATATAGTCATAGATACAACTCCATCAGCAGACTGTGCTAACAACACTCCAGATTTATGTTTGGATGAGTCTGAGCTTATCAAGGGAATGTATGTGTGATTTTTTAAAATGAGAAACATATGAACCTTTTATTTTTTTTAATATAATACTAATTAGCAATGGCCTGTGTGCCTCTTCCCCAACAGGGCATGGTTTGCTGTGGCTGACTATGTGGCTGTGGAGCCCAGGGTGGACTCCCAAGCCTAAGCAAAGCGGCAGCATCAGCATCATGCTCCATTACCTGCAGCCCACAGGTGTGGAGGCAGCTTTACAATTCTCTTTACAATTTTCCTAACACTCCATGAGGCTTTATACTCTAAGGTGGGTTTTGATGCATGGTTGATTGGTTTAAGATGAGTAACAAATTCAAACCTCTTTATTTTCTTTTCCATGAACAAATGGAATATTGTGTTTTAAGTAACAGCAAGCCTTTATAAAGCAAAGCAAAAACAAACAAACAAATAAATGTATTTGGCTTTCAACACTGCCCTCCCCCTAGGATACCGCTTTCACACTAAACAAACAAACTGTTAAAGGGTACTTACAACATCCCACATGGATTGGAAATAACATTCCAGGAAAGTATTTGTGCATGATAGCACATGTCCAGGGCATAACCCAGTCACAGGGTAGTACGGGTTGAAGTGTCTTGACATTGACAACTCTGAATGAAGAATAAACATCTGCACCAGAGCAGCTTTCGTAAAACAGAACTTTATCTTGATCATCACAAATAAGTTCCAACCTGAAGCAGCCTTTTCAACATTAGAAAACAAGTGTCTGCCCACTTTATTTCAAGCACATAAGATACTTTTATTTTAAATCTATGAAGAGAAGGGGTTACACAGATGACTTTGTAGGCACTGGAAAGTCCTGGGCTATCTATCTGTATACACGTAGCAGAAATTTTTGTTCTCAGTATATGGGGAAAAATCAGGAAATATACTTGAGATTGTCGTGTTTTATACAGGTGCTGAAGAGAGCTGGTCTGATAACCTGTGTTCCAATTTGGCTCAATATGAAAGGCAGAAAATGTCGTAGGTGCCTTCCGTGTTTCCCTGTTTAAGTAAACCTCATCTAACACTGTTCTCACACTCAGAAACAAAGTCTACTACAAAACCACAGCCCTCCTCAGTGGGCAGAAAATGTCTTGGAATACTTGTGTCAAGTTCATAGATCTCTAACAAGCAAATGACTGTTTTTCAGATCTGATTTTCCTGTCAGCAGCCCAATTCTTTCCAGTCTATAAGTAGGACAGGTTCATTCCACAAGTGACAATGCTGACTTCTCTGCTTAGCCCAAGTGTGACCGATTAAGTAAACCTGATGCAGACCTGTAAACACAACCATCCACTTAAAGAGACAGTACCTAGACAGCGTTTGAGGTCATACCTACATTTGTTACTTGAACTGGTAGTCTATGTGCTACTGTTGTCTGTGCTGGTAAAGTACCTTGATTGACTGAACCATGTGGAAGCAGCCGCCTTACTGCTGGTCCCACCCAGAGTGCCCCTAGCTTTACCATTGTATTCACTCAGGATAGTTGTTGTGAATAATGGCTGGCAGAACCAGGCACTTTGCATATATTTTCTAAATATAAGGGACCAAACAGAGATTCTTAGTTAGAAAGATGCCCCTTAGATCCTGCCAGATGAAGTAACTGATACTTCTAGTAAAGAAGTAACACAGATTTGAAGAATAGCTAAGGAGTGAATTCAAAAACTTGATATCAGCAAAGGAGCAAACGGAAAAAAAAAAACACAAGGAAATAATACCTTAAAGCTGTAAGTGATGCGTTATATTAGAAAATGTGTTTGTTTTCAAGAAAAATGGTGTTTGAAATATGTTTCTGAATGCATTTGGAGACCACAATATTGTATAAAGAAGAATGCTCCTGCTGTCAGCCTTGTAATATGATAACCACGATCCACTCTGCTGAGAGAGGCATTTGAGATGTTGGGGAATTTGTTCTTTGGGTACTGCATTTGCAGATATAATTGCAAAGCGGTGTTTTTCTGAGTGTTTTTGTTTATTTGTTTGTTTGGGACAACATTAAGATCTAGAATCTGCCCATGGATATTGAAAAGAGGCTGCATCAGATACAAACGGCTTCGTTAGACTGTTCTCACGTCACTGTTAGTACTTGTTCTGCTTGCTGAAACCTCAAATCTTTCACAACCACATGCACATGCTTGTCATTTATCCCTCTTCTCAGGTGCAAGGAAGGCTACCAAGGAGTCCGTTGTGATCAATTTCTGCCGAAAACAGACTCCATCTTATCGGATCCAAGTAGGTCAAGCCTTTTTTTTCTCTGTAATGGGATGATGTATAGGTAGTCCTGTCTGAGTGAAGATCTTAACACGGCTAAAGGTCATACTGCATTCCAATATCCTCTGCCAAGGATAGAAAGTGGTGAAGAACTTGATCTAAGCACAACCAGGGCTAACTCAGTCTAGGCTATCTCCCACGTGGGATTTAGCCCTCAGCTAAAGGCAACCCTGTACCCCTGCAGGGAACCAACCTCTGCCCTAGTTCCCAGGCTGGTTCTTAATATCACTCTGTTGCAGAAAGGATATAAAGAAATAGCTTATTATTATTCAGAAGAATGTTATGAAATTGCATTTTCCTATTGCTTCTGAGACTTTGTCTGGTAATTTGTGATAATGGTGAACTTATTAACATTTACCTTACTGAAATGAGAAAATATGCTTATGAAATTACTTAAGATGTTTTCAAACAAACCTTAAAACCCAGTCCAACCACACTATTTCCTATAAAGGATTTTAATACTAAGGAAATTATTATTTTGTTCTTCATGCAAAATGACAATTTTATACAGTTTTGAATCCTATTGCATATTAGTTTCACTTTGTATATAAATTTGAAAGTAACTTGCTATGCAAACATGACTAGTTCTGCTTAAAAGTATAAATCTTACTTTGGTTGTGAAACTATTTTGCTGTCAGTGGTACAGTACTGCAATTGAATCACCACTAAGGAGAGGAAATTTTGATAGATTCAAAAATTTAATTCATTGAGTATAATGTCATAAACTGTAAAGGCAATGTTACGGTTTTCTATATATTTTTAACATATATCACGAGGATCTTAGAAAGTATTTTGTATTGATTATAGATAGAAGTGGTCTTCTCAGTCCTCTTTTGATTTTTGACATGAAGAGCATGTTTAGCCATCTTCATATCTTTTCACAACATGTATAACAATTTGTCCCGTAAATTTCTAGCCCAATTACCTTGGCCAAATGTTAATGTATTTAAAGAACGGAGAATTTTTTTTTTTTTTTTTAGTTTCTGTAAAAATGTCTTTTGTCTTAGCAAAGCATCCACCTTCTTGTAATTATTTGCAAACTTGGCTCCCCTTGTGGAATTCGAAGCTTGTTAAAAGGCCAGCAAGCGTCCTAGCCTAGAAGATGACTCTTCTCAGAAGTGTAAAGTACGATTCCCCAGAATTTATCTGGAGAGTATGGTGTTAATGGGTTGCTATGCATTTTCCTCATTTTGTGCTTGTGACAACTTGTTGAGCTGGGATCTGAAACTCGATTGATTAACCTGAGCTTGGACATGCATTTGGGACACTGTGAGTTTGACATAAAAATGAGTTTGGTTTTGCTTTTCCTTTCTCTCCTTTCCACTTCCAAAAAGCTGGACTCTAATGCCCTCTACTTTGAATCTCATTCTTCATTCCTTTCCCTCTTCGGTTTCTCCATTTTTCTCATCTCCTTTCCAATACCTTTTTCAGATTAAATTTATATGCATTGTATGTGTGTATCAGTGTTCCTGTGTGTGTCTGTATATGTGTATATGTGTGCATGTGCTCACATATGCATTCATGTGCATACATGCATACCGTGAGGCACACATGGAGGTGAGAGGAAACCCTTGAAGTCAGTTTGACCATGTAAGTCTTGGATTATCAGGCTTTGTGGCAAGTATCTTTACCCACTGAGCCATATCACTATCTCACCAGCCCCTTCTTTCAGAAAAATAAAACTTTATATGTGGCAGTAAAATCTTTATTAGGGACAGAATTCTAGACATGGCTTTATAGATAATACAAAGTGGATAAAATAATTTCTCATTAATTTCTAATCAAATTTTGTGATCCAATTGGATTCAAAAATTTAATTCAATAAGGATAATGACAGACATTTTCAAATTGTAAAGGCAGATGTAAATTTATCAGTGCAGATACTAAGTGTGAGACCCACACCCATGACTATGGGTTTACCTCAGAGAAAAACTTTGTTATGATCCTTCATAGCTAAGAATAAGGTGCATAAGATTATTTAATGTAACAATAATATGAAAGGAATTATTAGGCATAATGCAAAATTAACATTTTTCATACCTTGTCTTCCTCTAAATGGCTTAAAGGTTTCTATCATATGAAACCATGAAACAGAAAGTTATTCTATGTAGGATTGAAAAGTGATCATTCTTTGATCTATAGTTAGAAAATAACTGCATTGTTCTGCTCAACTTTTTTTTTTAATTTTGGGTTATGGTGTTATGTGAATTTATTTTCCTAGTACTCAATTTTTTTTGTTAAAAGAAGCATATATGTCTGTAAGATTCAAATGGCCAGTATTCCTTGACATCAATAATCAAGGATTTTACTCATCTAAAATCCATAGATGAGTGTGTGAATCACATATTATGTCATATTCATGTTTATATTTATTTATGAGATCAGTAACATTCCACTAGCCTTCTAAGCAGCCACCAAGAGTCATCTAATCAGAAATATTATGGTAATACAATGGGAATTTAGCTCTGAGGACTGTACCAACTAATGATGGAAAATAACATGTTTATGTATAAATACTGAGATGTATTGGATATAACATTAACATATCCCTCTAAAATGGGGTGCAGTTATTCGGCTTCCAAGTCTCGCAGTCCTTATCTGAGAGAAGGCAATGATGGTAGCTTTTGTTATAACACAGAGATGAGCAAAGTTGGAACTGGGCAGATTTTAGCCCACTCCCTCCTCTCCATTGTCATCATTGTGAGTATGTAGTTAGATGTTCTGCGTGCCAGGATCTGTGCTAAGGGCTTTGTCTAGATTATTTCATTAAATCTTCACAATCACAGACTATTGAGGAGTGCTTTGGAAATTGCTCACATTTTATGGATGTGGAAATTAGACTGCAGAGATGCAAAATCCACTAACTCAAGGTCACACAGCCACTTAACACTGGAGTCTCACTTCTCTTCCAAATGACTCTAGGGCTGAAGCTCCCAACTGTTGGGCTCTTTTATCCCTTTCCTGGATCCTTTCCTCTGCTAGTTATTTTCAACAGGACATTTATCACTCTAAATTTCATTGACTGAAACTCAATGACCTGCGGCAAACATCATTCTAAGAAACAATATTTGCACAATTTTCATATCTTAATGCAGCAACTTGAGCTTCCATTGAGATTTAAATCCCTAATGAAATTTCCTTGTCAAAATTCTTGCTGAAAGATTGTTTAATTTTCAGCTCATGATCTCTTCAGAGTGGCTTCATGCTCAGAAAATAAGCTTTCCTCCAGTATCTTCCATGTTTTCCTTCTCTGTCTTTTGTTCTCTCCATTTCTTCTTCCTTTTCTCCCTTTCTATTTAACCCATGCATTCATCTATTAATGAAAATTCCAAAATGGGGGTTGAAGTCACTGTTCCTTTTTATCCCCCAAGTAATGCACAGTTGATCAGAAATGAGCACGCTTGACCGTATATTTAGAAAACTGTGCCCTTTTCCATGTACTTGAGGACCTGAGGCAAAAAATATCACCAAGGGAAGCTATCACACCTTCAGTGATAAGTGCCTGACCCTAAAATGTGCTAAAAAGAACCTTTAAGATAAATCCATACTGAACTCATGTGTTCATAGCAACCTCACAAAGTGTTGGAAAGTCTGATTTTGAAAACACAAAACAAAACCTAATATATCCAGGTGACTTTATTAAAGATTTAGTATACTTTGAGTTACTGTCCCACTAGGGGTTTTCTTGGAAGTACTAAGGTATAAGAGGAATGGACATTGGTCAGGATCAGAGGAGCTGTCTTTCTCTGAAGAAGCCCCACATATCACCTATGTCTGTTCCTGTCTCCTGCTGCTATCAGTCCTGCCCATGGATAATGGCCATCAACTTCCCCAACTTTTTAAACATTACCAATTATTATTATTCTCTACAAACAGTGGACAGTCTATAGATTTTCTGTCTCCATTTCTTTCTTGACCACTCTTACCCACTCATGTAAGGTATCATCCTTAATCCTGAAGAAAAGTGAGATGGAACTTGAGAGCTATTAGCTAGCTATGGCCCAACTGGGGGTAGGTGGATGGTAGAGAAGATGCCCATTTTAAGTTATAGACCTCTTCACTTAAAAGACATTCTAGGAGCGTGTTGTTCTCTGAGAGCCTCCATCCAGTAGCTGACAGAAACTGATACAGATACCCACATCCAAACAGTAGATGGAACTTGGGGAGTCTTATAAAATAAGAGGAAGGACTGCAGTCCCCAAAGAGAATAGGAACGCCATGGAAAGACCAACAGTGTCATCTAACCTGGACCCTTGGGGCTCTCAGAGTCTGAACCGTCAATCAAAGAACATACCCAGGCTGGACCTAGCCCTCTCTACATATATGTAGCAGATGTGCAGCTTGGTCTTCATGTGGGTCCTGAACAACTGGAGCAGAAGCTATCTCAAAAGCTATTACCTGTCTGTAGGCTATGTTCTTTTAGCTGGGCTGCCTTGTCTGTCCTCAGTGGGAAAGGAAGTGCCTAGACTCCCAGAGACTTGCAGTGTCAGGGTGAGGCGATTCCCAGGGGGACCTCATCTAATCAGAAGGAAAGGAGAGGGGTTCAGGGAAGAATTTGGGGAGCAAGTGACCAAGATGGTGCAGTAAGTGGGATCAAAAGTGAATGAGTACGTAAATCAATCAATCAATACAATTTTAAAAAAATTAAAAAGTCATCCTAAACTTCATTGTCCCTCTTACCACTGACATCTAGTCTTAATAGCAAGTGTTTGCATGGCCAAGACAATAGATAACAAATCTTCAACCCTGAGGTTTCATTAACACTCAGCTTAAACTCCTAGAGTTATGTTATCTTCACAGAAACATGGAAACAACATCCAGCTTTAGCCCATATTATTAGTAGAAATTTGGGGGAACCCAACTTAGGATGTCATACGCTACCAAGGAAACAGACATCCCTTCTCAGTGTACATAGTCTCATTAATAACATAATTAAAAATGGACTTAGAACAAATCTTGAA